CAAAAATCTTACCATTTTGTACAGAAAGCTTCACATTTCCATATCACTGAAAAGGAACTTCACGAAAAGCAAGAACAAACCCGCAAACGCAAAGCAATATCAATAAACTGAAAGTGTTATGCCGCCAATTTTTAATTATTGTAAACATAATAATCATCGCTTACTCAGCAATGGCGCCATCGATTGACAGTTAGACAAAACAAGAATTTATTATAAACAAGAATGCAGATGGTTCTCATAAAAATCCATCAAACTGCCTATTGACCCGGAGAAAAACTGTGTTATTAACGACAACAATAGCATATGTTTGTAATTCAAAAGGAAAGAGAATTCCAGTTCGCGCTATTATTGATAACAGCAGCATATCTATGGATGCCAACTCTCATTTTCAAATGTCGCTAGATACACCTGCAAAAGTAGCTAAAAAGTCGCTAAATTCATTGGAGAAATTTCCCTAAAAGTAGCAGTTAAATTTTTTTTAAACAAAGTATAATCCATCTTCCATAATAGGTTTCGTTACTCGTCATGTTTTAAACTGAATCTTCATAAAATATAAATATTGTCCCAAATTTTCTGCCGACCATCAAAACGTTTTCACGGACCACCGATTGGTGACCGCTGATATAGATCATTCTGGTTGGTTTTGTTTACATCCTCGTTGTTAACTATTCATCACTCATCGTTTGTAACACTCCCGTTCTAATTTTAATACTTAGAATAAAAAATTTTCTACTTAGTTTATAGAAAAATCACACGGATTGCAAATAACTCGTTCAAATTTAAAAAAACAAAAATGTGTTAATGGTAACACAGATATATACATGGTAACATCTGGAAGGCCAGTGGAAGTTTCAATGGTATTTTATGCAAATTATGCATAAAAACACTTTTCTGCCTGCAGACGTTGATGTTTGCTTTCAAAATCGGTATAATTTTATTTAACAATATGTTTCGTAGTCGTATCCGTACGCTATGCGGCGGCCATAATTAAGTCGTGACGTCACGTTGTTGACATCATGGACCTTATAAGAGATAGACTAACCCAGTGGGCGGGTCGCGCGTCACCGATATGTCGGCAAGAAAGAGTAGGGACGAATTTACTTTAACACTGAAACCTATGGCGTTTGTATCACATAACTCTTTTTAATTTTTAAATGTGATACGTTGTGTGATGAGATTATGAAAGCCACAGTTTTTCCAAATAGAATTTAATATATCTCATTAAAGCACTTTTTACTGCATTTCGCGCATTTTTTTTCACAAATTCTTGTACAAACATTTTTACTTTGGTAAAACGGAAAAACTCTAAGCACAAAATTTATAAACTTAATTTTGAGTTAAAATAAAGTAAAATTAAGTAAGATTAATAGTACGCTATGCTTTGAAATAAATATGGTAAAATTAAACAAAATCTGATAATTTTTTTTAATTTAATGAACATTTTCAGGCAGTGATTTACCAAACTATAAGAACATTACAAAACGAAAATATTTATTTGATTATATAATCATTAAATTATTCTGAGCGTAATGAAGGGAAAAAAAGAAGATAAAATAAAATCTAGAAGCACTCAAATTTTATATTACCCCCAAAAGGAACCTTTTTTTTTTTTAAGTTTTGTGTGTTACCTATATTTATTGAATATCATGTTCTTCGTCCGTAAACCACATACATTTGAAAACAGCATATCTTTAGAATTTCCGCACTGGAGATAAAACTGTTATTTTCCGTACAGTGCTCGCTCTGAACTCGTTGAGTTTGTTAATCAAAAACACGTTAAAGTTTTACAAAATATGAAATAGATTAAAACAAATTCGAAATTCGGCCGTCCAGATTCCTATGTTCGAATGGAGGATTACATTATTCAAAATTTGATGGCTCTAGATACTGTCGTTTTTGTCACAGTGCGAGAAACATACATGTATTCATGCAGATTCTTAATTATTTAATTTTTTTACATATAATACAGGGCAATAACATTTGGTAACAACAATTTGAAAGGAGAGATGGTCATTTATAATAAAACCGCGCAAAATGCCGCTTCGAAGCCTTTCTAGGCTACCGCCCCTTTGGGCTAATAAATTAAATTAACAGTAAATAAAAAAAATCTTATACAGAACTAAAAATAAATTTAAAAAATAATCACTAGAAAATACAAGCAAAATTAATTATTACGGTTAAATACAATTTTAATATTAGAATTAAATGGATAAAAATTTTTAAGGAGACAAAAGTGTTTATCAGTATGATGTATTATGAAATATAATTGAAATAAAATTCCTTCATAGAAATTGCGCTATAATACTCATCTATAATTTTAAAAAAAGCAGCAAATTTAGAATTTTAAACAAAACTTTGAAAAATTCATTTTTAAATATTTTAGTATTTTTTACTTATTTACACCAATAAAAAGCATAAATATTGCTTGTTTGAAATTTTCTATTCGTTCAGATTTAAAATATTATTTTCTAAAAGAAGTAGTTCCAAATTTCCTTACAGCATAGGAAAAGCTCAAAAACTATCCAGTCCTGAAAGCATGTATAATTATTTGGAATGTTAATTATGCTTGATAAATATGCTAAAATTTTTAAAAATCAATCTCAATTTCAAAAATAAAAATATGTAGAAATTCTAATTTATGAAATGAGGCACTACAACCAGCTTTATCTTGACAATTATACACGCTGTAATAGGCAACCAATGTTAAATTTCTGCAAGTCGTCCCTACTCCTCCGGAAGTGATCAAGGTGACAGCCGGCAACGCCTCAGACGAGGGAGAAAACCCGTTTGAGTTAGTCTTATTTCTTATAAGGTCCATGGTTGACATCTCCTTAGTTTCACTTTTGTGACGTCATACTTAGTCCATCCATACTAACCGCCTTGGAAATTTTTAATGATATGCTATTTTTAAATATCTGGTGAATTTGGTGTTGAATTGAATTGTATGTAGGGTAAGCGCGAAAATCGTGATATTTAATAAATAAAGTTAACGAAACGTTAATAATAAAGAGAAAAAAAAAACGTGTAACGTAAAAAGAGAAAATATATTTTAAGCTAACCATCTTACTAAGAAAACGCATCACTGATATGATTAACTGAGAAAAGAACGAAAAAATTATATAAATGTATGCCAACACTTAACACTGCATCGAAAATTCTAAATTTTGTTAAATTAAATAAAATTTTCCAATTTTGCTGTTGAATTGTATATGGCGTAAGTGTGAAGAAAATAACGAAGCCAACAAGGCAAAACAAATGGGCTAACAAGAGTGAGTGCAAGAGCAGACTATAAGTAGACTTCGGACTCAGCCAGAGCGTAAAAAAGTTTAGCCAACTCTTTTGAGCCACCGTTAGAAACTGAAACCATTCTTTTTTTTTTTTTTTTTTTTTTTTTTTTTTTTTTTTTTTTTTTTACTTCCTTGTACGAAATAAAAGAAGTGTTGTAATCGTGGAAAATTTCGGGTATCATATTTCAACGAAAATATCCATTTCGACCGCTCTCGAAACCATTTGAACAATGTTTTTGCGTGGCATCTGTACGTACGGGCAGAGTGAAAGACTCTATTTGCCAAAACGGATTGTAAAATGCATTTAAAATGGATACAAAAGGGATTATTCTTCCCTTCTGAATCCATTATGAATCTTTGACTCCTTCTGAATCCTTGAATTCATGATACATACATATGTACGTACCTATTCGGGATACATACATATGTACGTACCTAGGTACGTACATGTGTATGTATCCCGCATAACTCAAGAACGAGTAGCAGTAAAACGTTTATTCCCACTCTGTCACCTGGCTCAGTGAGCTTATTTTATTGAATTCTTATATGTTGGTAAATTGTGCCTTTGTTGCTTTAAATGTGATTGAATTATATGGTTTTCATGCCTTTTGTTAACCTGCATGCAATAAGTTCTAGAATTATCAACAATTTAAAAGTGGCTAGTTAAGCCTAACGAACCGCCATTTGATTACATATGAAACTCAGTAGAATAGTGAATTAAGTCAGTTTTTACACTTCCAATGTCTTATTGCTGAGTGGGACCAAAAGTAAACTTTCAATTTTGTGCACCGAAAAATATACCTTCTAGCCCGCTGTCCGAATAGCTTGCTCTTGTGTATAAAATCTAATTTTAATTGCAAAAATTGTTGTTGTTTTTTAAGTGTATTTGGTGTTTTATGTTTTCCTGTATTTTAGAATTCTTAATGAAGACGTTTTGAGTTTTTATATGTTTTTGCTTTACCGCGAAGTGAGAACTGAATTAATTGAATGAGAAATATATAAATTGCTCATATTTTTTTGCTTTAAAATGTTTCAATTATATTGTTTTTGTATTCATTCTAGTTAAGGATTTTATGGCTTTAGTTGACCTAATAGAATGTAACAGTTGTAGAATTATGAGTAATAGTTGTAGAATTATGTGCAATTTAAAAGTGTGCGCACCGCACCAAAAATTTCAAAATACAAAAAACTTTTCAAAATACAAAAAAGCCTAGTGTGACAGGAATTTGCTTGCATTGAAACTCCTAATTGTATAGAGAATTAAATCGGTCAGTGTAGCTTGAGTGTCGTCTTGCCCAGTGGGACCAGAAGTTAACTTTAATTTTGGTGCGCCAAACAATTTGTCTTTTTGCGCGATGGCCGAATTGCTTGTTTTCTCGTAGAAACTGATTTCCATTGCAAAAATTGTTTTTTAAAATCTTTTTAACTGAATTCGGTGTTTTAAGTTTTTTGTATTTTGAAATTTTTAATGACGGTGTTTTGAGTTTTTATGCGTTTTTGCCTTGCCGATGGGTGAGAAATGAATTGACTGAGTTAGAAATATATTTCTAGTGAAATAAATCTGAATAAAATGGAGCAAAAACATCTGTATAACTTAATAGGACATACAAGGAAGTCATGTGTTGCGCGATTTTTTAATTATTATTATTATTGTTGTTGTTGTTATCATTATTATTATTATTATTATTACTCTTACTACTACTACTATTTTAGAACTAAGTGAGGCAAAAGAAAAATTCATTTCTTTGGACGAAGCAAAAAGACTTTCTCTAGAAAATTCAGTTCGCCATCATGCTCGAATGCAAGCTATCATCTGCTTGATCTTATGGGTAAGATATGATGTCGATTTATATCTCTCATAGGAATAAATTTCTTAACTCTTATCTGACGTGAAAAATAATTTAAAGGCTAAAATTCATCGTGCAGCTAAGAAAGCACAAATTTCCCAAAAATTATGAGAAAAAATTATTTTCTTGATTATTAATGTAAACATTCTCTTGGTATTTTATACCTGTATTTGTATACTTTTAATACACTGTCTTAATTTCTTTGACATATTTTAATATACGCGTATATATACGTTCTTACAGATATCACAAAAAATATTCTAGGCGTATATATACGTTCTTACAGATATCACAAAAAATATTCTAAGCGTATATATACGTTCTTACAGATATCACAAAAATATTCTAGGCGTATATATACGTTCTTACAGATATCACAAAAAATATTCTAGGCGTATATATACAAGTATTCCGGTTATAGGGTGAATTATACGTAGATAAGCCAGTATATATGATTTCACCACTTTATGCATAAAATTTATATTTTACTGAATTAATCCTCTAATACTTAATCACCTAAAGTTGTTGGTGAAATTTAATTTATTTTATATTTCTAAACTAAACGCATTATTTGCTCTCCCCCACCCTCTGTAGATTTCAGGATTAATGACGTATTCAATAAGTGAATGGTACCATTCTGATCCTACGCAAGAACCTCTTCTATCCATGCCACGTCACCAATCCACCGTTTATCTCAGTCACTGTGGTATTGTCATCTGCCTCACAGGCTATTATGGATTTTGGGCAGCGCTTCGACAAGTACATTCTATGATTTTTGCGGTAGGTTCTTTTTAAAATGTAATATTTAAAACGATTGGGAAATTAAAGACTTTTCTTTTTAAAATTTTACTTTAAAGTTTGAAAACAGTTCAGTTAGGTAAAGATACATCGCGTTTAGCGATTTTAGAGACATTTCGGCAAAAATCATAAATTAATGGTGAGTTCAGAAAGCCTGACAAAAAAAAAAAAAAAAAAAAAAAAGGTTGAATTTGATCACATCTGTAACTGTAACTAATTTTAGATCCAAAAATGGGTCTTCCGTCAAAATTAATTAATTTTCAGTTATTAGGTGAAATATCATGCACGAATTTAAGAGTCTCTGTTAAGTCTCACTCTTTTCGCTAACATACTGTTGCGTTTTTCTTTTCTTCTGACACCAGTTGTTACGTTATTTTCTTCTTTCACGTTCGTACGGGGTTTGTGTGGATTTGAAGTGAATAACGACGACACTTAATGAAGTATCGAAACACACTTTATTGGCCGGTATTTAATCAGGACAACTCCAAAACCTTGTTTACAGTCGTCGAAGTGTTATAAACACGCTGACACGACCAGCGACAGAGCCTCCAAGTTATCAGGCTAGCTCCAAAATCACTTTTCACAGTCGTCGATGAAACACGTCGATGAAACACGCTGACACGATCAGCGACACAACCTTCAGGTTATCAGGCTATCACGGTGGAGAGAGCTTGCACAGCACCAGAGTACAGCTCCCGACTCTGCTTGGTCGTTCTTGGAACTCCACATACTCTCGAGACTCTCCACGCTACAACTCGCGATGCACTCGACGACACACACAGCACGGCTCCCGACTCTTCGGTTCAGTCGTTCCCGGTTCGGTTCAGTCGTTCCCGGTTCGGTTCAGTCAGCTCAACATGCTCTTTCGACGATGCATTAACTGCGATACACTACGAGACTCTTTCGGTGCACTCAACGACCCACTCGGCACTCGATCGACTCCGCAGGGATTGACTCTCTAGACGAGACACCAACTCGATACTAACTATCTCGCACTCTATGCGAGGCAAACACTCTCGCCCTCTCGACGATGCACACTAACTGATTGTGGACCAGCAGGGTTTATATAGCTTTTGGCTGGTGTTCGAAAATGTTCTGGGCTAAACCGGTAAGAATTCGTTCCAGAAGGTTCTCCATCCGTCCATGGCATAGCGCCAATTTTGTCGCCAAATGGGTGATTTCTCGCCAAATGTGGCAACCCAGCCTTCCCTTGCCATTTTATGGCAACCCTAAACCTTCCTAGCGGGGAAGCTATCTCACCGCGCCTGGACATTTCGTAACAATACACTAAGTCAAGACTCAAGTTAGAACTAAACGAAATATCGCTGTGTCTAGAATGCAAACAGCTAAACGAAGGGTACGAAGGATGTAAAATACCCTTTTATTATTAAGAACTCAAAAACTGAACAGAAGCCACTTCTCGTGCTTACAAAACAGTATCTAGTAATGTGGCCTTCAGCAGGCGGAACACGCTCTATCTAGGGAATCTAAAATCTTCCTTTATATGCTACCTCCTTCTGCCTCATTTAAACACGCTCGAAATAAAATTTGCATTCTGATAGGAAAACTGAAAGGAAGAAATGACAGCATAGATCCTTAAAATAAAATAACTGATTAATTTAAATAAATACCTTACATTTGTAATATGTATATTTTTTTATTTCAGTTTTCTTACATTGTATTCATAACTTCAGTAGCCGAAATCTGTGGCGGTGCAGTCATTCTTTCCTACTTGGAGCAGGTAGTATATATTTCTAGCAAATCGTAAGTGCAATCAAATTGAGAGATTATTAAATATTATTTTTTTCATTGAAAATGCAAAATAGTTTATTATTTCCTTAAAATGAAATAATACACCTCCATACTCAAAAATACCTACTCTTTGCATAATTATACTTCTGTTAATGTGTTACAAACTTTTCACATAAGCATTGAAAACTTCCAGTTCCATAAAAGCTATAAAATCGACTAATGCGTTAAAAAAATGGAATTCTTTCCAACGTTCCTCCTTGACAGAAAATGCCGCCCCCCTCAAAAAATATATTAAACAGATTAAATTTGAAAGGCAAAAAAAAAGTAAAATCTGAAAGCTGTCAGATTTTATATTAGAGATTTTTTTTAGATTTATATTAGAGACCCAAAGATACTTTTTTTTCCCACTTACACACACATACGCGTTTCGAGTGCAGAAAAGCTAACGCCACTTTGAATTAAAAATATTTAAAAATAGCATGTCTTCAAAATTTCCGATAGATAGGCTCGCGCACTGGAGATTAAAATATTTTATTCCGCACAGACTGTTGCCACTGTTCGCTTTGAAATCGTTGAGTTTCTTAATAAAAAATTCGCTGAAGGTTTAAAAAATATCAAATAGATAATAAAAAAATTCAGAACTCATGATTCGGGGTTCCAGCTGGCCAAGTTCTGGTGGAAGACTACGTTATTCAAAATTGGATGGCTCTAGGTATCGTTGTTGCTGCCAGCCGTTATTCTGAAATAAAAGACATTACTTGCTGTGTTTTGAGTATTTTCCCATGCATCTGATATTGTTGTTACAGTCTCCAAACCTCATAGTATTTTATAGTATTGTAGATATATAGTATCATAGCATCTGAGGATGAATAATTCTGGCAGAAGACTGTAACTAATGGATTATTATTATTATTACCTACAGGATTGATTTGCTGTATTACGCACTCATGATATTTATACAGTCTTTAAGAAGAACATTTATGACCACCTTATAGGATAAATACCTCATAGGCAGTCAAAATTAACTGTAGAATATACCTTCCTTTTTGTACATGTTTAAACTACGTCGCATCTTAAACGGCTTGCCTCTAAAATGTCTTGCCTTGCATTATTCACTGACTTAGGCGGCAAGCATTGATCAAGTTTCTAATTAAAAATGAGTACAAATTATGGAAATACAATTGAATAATGGATATTCACTGGGAGAACCAAATGTTTCTTTTGGATATGATTCAGTGAAATTAATCAATTTATAGATATTAACCCTTTGGGTACGTTTGACAAGTGAGACTCGTCATCTGCTTACTTGGGCGACATTACGGTGGACGTGTCTGACTCGTCAACTGAATTTAAGAAGCAGGCGTTGATGTCTGCGGCACCCCCCCCACCAGTGGGCGTTGATCGCAAACAATTGCCTGACGTTTGTTTATGACATCTCACAGTTGCAAATAAGGTTAATTCCATTTATCTTTATTATTACCCCTGTTTTTTGATACGCTACCCTAAGATGTCTGACATAAAAAATACATGACTGCGAAAATGATAGTTTTTTGATACGCTACCCTAAGATGTCTGACATAAAAAATACATGACTGCGAAAATGATAGTTTTTTGATACGCTACCCTAAGATGTCTGACATAAAAAATACATGACTGCGAAAAAATGATAGTTTTTTGATACGCTACCCTAAGATGTCTGACATAAAAAATACATGACTGCGAAAATGATAGTTTTTTGATACGCTACCCTAAGATGTCTGACATAAAAAATACATGACTGCGAAAATGATAGTTTTTTGATACGCTACCCTAAGATGTCTGACATAAAAAATACATGACTGCGAAAATGATAGTTTTTTGATACGCTACCCTAAGATGTCTGACATAAAAATACATGACTGGGAAAATGATAGTTTTTTGATACGCTACCCTAAGATGTCTGACATAAAAAAATACATGACTGCGAAAAATGATAGTTTTTTGATACGCTACCCTAAGATGTCTGACATAAAAAATACATGACTGGGAAAATGATAGTTTTTTGATACGCTACCCTAAGATGTCTGACATAAAAAATACATGACTGCGAAAATGATAGTTTTTTGATACGCTACCCTAAGATGTCTGACATAAAAATACATGACTGCGAAAATGATAGTTTTTTGATACGCTACCCTAAGATGTCTGACATAAAAAATACATGACTGGGAAAATGATAGTTTTTTGATACGCTACCCTAAGATGTCTGACATAAAAAATACATGACTGGGAAAATGATAGTTTTTTGATACGCTACCCTAAGATGTCTGACATAAAAAATACATGACTGCGAAAATGATAGTTTTTTGATACGCTACCCTAAGATGTCTGACATAAAAAATACATGACTGCGAAAATGATAGTTCTATAAAATGCTCTATCAGAAAAATAAGAATGCAGGGGGAAGTCTATTTAACATTGAGTAAGTGACTGTTTCGCTATCTAGGCGAGATATCGCCAAGCTGGCGACGGTTTTGGCGACTAATTTTTTTTGCCAAATTTGGCGGAAAATGGCAAAAATACGCCTAACTGCGTATGAAAAAATGCAAGAAGTTTGATGTACGATAAAAATGGATCAGGATATTTAACTTCAAATCTTGCAATTTTTGTATCATATTCAACTTAGCCTGAGGAACTGGTTTATTAAATAAGAATAGTTCGGGGAGATAAATTTAAATGAAGTGCAGCAAAAAAAGAGTGCATAATTTAATAGGCATTACAATGAAGTTGTGTGTTGTATCCAGAAATTTTTTTAACAGGGCGAGTAGCACACATACATATATGCAGATTCTTCGTTATTTGATGTCTTTAAAAATAATACGAGACAATAATATATAGTGGCAGCAATTTGAAAGCCAAATCTCTCCTCTATAGTGAACCGACATCCATACTGGATCCACATCAAAATCCCGTTTGCAAACTAAGAGCCCCTTTTGGGCTAGAAATATAATGTCATCAAATCACATTATGCTCCTGAATATTCGGATATTAACATAGAAAGAGCTTCAGTTTGATGGCAAAAGCTCATGTTTTCTTCTCAATGAATGGCCCTCTAGGAAATGCGAAGACAAACTGATCGGACAGCTAGCAGAAACCCATCATAAGTTGTTTGATCAAAACCAGGTATGCTGTTGAGGGATGAAACTTGGAATACCGTAAGCCAATTAATATTTCAAAATTTATTACACTTTTAATGTATAATTTCAATTTAGCAGAAAACAACCGGTTGCATAGAAGTTGCCTTCACTTAAAAATACATATATCATGTTATGAATTATTTCTCCCGCCTTCTTAGCATGCCTTCGTGGTGTAATAGGCAGCACACTCGGTGCGTATTCGAGAGGTCCGTGGTTCAAGTCCCGGCGAGGGCACTACACATTCATCACATCTCTCCTGCTTCGAAATAGGAGAAAATAGAATTTAACTTTGATAAATCTTCTATTAGTTATGCCTGTGATGTCTGCAAAATCCTAAATGCTTTAAGAAATTAGTTCTCGACTGTAGTTCTCTTTTAAAAACACAATTAGATATATAAGTTGTTCTCAAATATTACAAAATAATAATTAAAAAATTTGATAAATACACAATTGGAAAATGCAGTAAATTTTAGAATGGATTTTCAGAATAATGGCAACTAAAATATTAATTCAAAAGAAGAATTCTTATTGAATAAAAACAAAGCATTAGTGGCACAGTTTAAATAATGATAAAACCCTTTTCACTTTTTAATCATTTCTATTCTCCAAGAGGAAAAGAAAACATCCGTTAATATTATTCATAAAATAAAATAAAACAAAACATACAACTTATTAATTGATAGCAATACAGTTATAAAAATACTAAAAAGAATTATGCACGCCGGAAACATTTATCAATCAGAATAAAAATAACATTTTGTTACGTAAACACTTTTCGTTCAGAACCGGAACGAAATTTTACTCGTGTTGACTTCTAATGAAAACAAAATTATTCTTCATTTAGAACATAGAATTAAAACACGGGAAATTCAAATAAAAATCCATTATTTAAACAACGTAAGACAATATAAATTTTTAACGTGCAACCTAGATAAAAGAAACACCTAGAGCTTATACCGTGTTTGACGGCATATAAGACGCACTTTTTTTTCCTAATTTTGGTCTCAAAAAAGTTACCTGCGTCTTATATGTGAAGGACACAGTCACGTGAAAGTAATTGCATTCAATAATTGTTTATATGGCTTTTACGAAACGTGAGAACTAAAAGAAACCACGCTATTGAAACTTTTTTCCCTTGTGTGTGGCCGCCTAAATAAGGGTGCGTCTTATATGCCGTAAATACGGTATATACTTTATATATGATTCTGTTTCGTTTTCAACGACACATTTTAATTCCATATTATTAAAGTATTATCGACGTTATAATTAGAATTTTATATTGTTTCAAGTGAAACTGCTATCTCTTTATTAAGTTAAATGCTTATTAAGTGAAAATCTCTTTCTTATTAAGTTAAATGCTTATCCGTTATCTTCGGGTGAAGATGAAACCATGCAATGTCCAAAATAACCTTCGGGTGAAAATAAAACCGCTACTTTATTCAATTTCCAAAATAATCTTAGGGTGAAGACTTCGCTGGTGGAAGTAGTACCTAAAAAACTGGAAAAGAATATGAGCCGATGTCTTGGATTCGTAAACTAAACATGGTTTTTCTCAACTGGATAAAACATTCGAACCGCGCGTTCGGTAGCCAACTACAACCGAAACTACCATAAACAAAATACTCACTTGGCATTTTTAAAATAGTTTTAATTAACAAAACGCAAATAAGATAAAACATTACAATTAAGGGCGTTATAATTACACATTTAAGTTACAAAGTAAATATCAGGGAATAACATCTCGGGAAAACAGCATGCTTAGTTCATGACTCCCGCACATCGACTAACTGTATATAGTTTTTGTTTATGACTGGTGTTTATTCCGGCGGTCGCTAGGTGGCGCTCGTTGAGCCGTAGGGTTACAATATGAAAAAAATCTGATGTTGATACTACATGACTTCTTTGTACGGCCTACCAAATTACATCCATTTTTTTTGCTGAATTTCATGTAAAATTCTTTCCTCGAATTTCATTAGAAATTTATTTACCATTTCATCAATTCAGTTATCACTTGGCGACAAGACAAAGATACATAAAAACACTAAACATCTGCATTGAAAATTATAAATACAGAAAAACATAAAACACCAAATAGAGATAAACACAATTTTTGCAACTAAAATTAGCGTTTCTAAGCAAAAACAAGCAATTTGGTCTGCGGGCAAGAAGACAGATTTTTCGGTGCACAAAACTGGAAGTTTACTTTTGGTCCCATCCGTCAAAGAGATACTGAAATTGGTGGACAAGCTAACTTAATTCACTATTCTATTAAGAGTTTCAAATGTAAGTAAATGGAGGTTTCATTAGGCTTAGTACCACTTAAACAACTTTTAAATTTATTGATAGTTCTAAAAGTATTGCGTGCAGATTAACTAAAGGCAGAAAAACCTTAACAAGAACATAAGAACAGAATATTTCAATCAATTTCAAAGCAAAATATGCCCAGTTTACCAACGTATAAGAATAAAAAAACTGAGCTCAACGGGTAACAGGGCAGATATATAAAGAATATGAGACTGAGCTTACCCCTGCTTAATCTCATAATCTTTCCTACCATTACCATTTTTTCGTTTCTTTTCTTTTATTAGCCCGAAGGAGCGTAAGCCCAGAAGCGCTGTTAGTCTCGAAACGGCATTTAGTATTGAATCACTTTTGAAATGGCTGCCAGCAACTATTATCGCCCTGTGTTGAACTTAAAGAAATTAAATAATGAGAATTTGTTTGAGTCTATGCATGTTTCCCGCATTGTGAAAGAACAACGATACCTAGAGGTGTGTTTACGCCTCTAGCCATCCAATTTTGAATAATAAGCACCATTTTATCTCATATTTTCAACAGTCAGCAGTCCAGTATGCAAAGCATTGAATGAAAAACTGTTGCCAAAACCACATTTCTAAAATGAAACTATTCAAAATGACGCGATTTTATCAGAAAAGATAAAATAAAAAAAAATCTGATTCAAATTTTGAAAAAAAAAAAAATCGCTTTGAGGAGCCCTGGCTCTTGTCTAAATGTATCTATGTACCAAATTTCACTGCCCTGGGTACAGCTTACGTACTTTAGCTTACGTACAGCACGAACGAAAGACACACATACAGACAGACTCCTTCTTTTATTATAGTCTATAGAGATTATGTACACTCGTGATCAAAAAATGAGCAACAAACGCTAAAATGGAAGGTACTAATATAAAAAGGAGAGTTCCCAAGCATACAATTTATATATGACGTAGCGGTTGCATCGCCGAAAGAAAATAGATGACCAAAATTAGCATAAAACGCAATCCTGCAGTCGCACCACAATGCCTTAAACAGGCATGCCGAACCTAAGCGTCAGTGCGCAAGCAGCGATAGTTCCGTATAATTCGAGATAACCAAAGCCTAAAGCATGATTCGAAGACACCATTTGCACGATGAAATGCATTGGAGGGCTGTCTGTTATGCAAGCTGGTGCAAGACAATTCGCTGTTGCGAGATTGCTGAATGTGCATCGTACTGCCATCAACATGCTGTGGAATCGCTACCAAAGGGATCAAATTTTTATTGAAAAACATTTGCTTTTCTTAATACATTATCTAAATCGTTTTAAAAATGCGTAAACACCCTCTGTAACTATACTACTTAGACAAAATCATTTCCTATTTGTGCATACATTTTACATTGTTACCATACATCAGAAGTTTCCAAATCATATGCTGAAAAAAAAACTGAAGTGGGTGAATATGCAAGGGAAAGAAAATAGAGAAAAAATACAGTAATTAAACGTTTTCCCTTCTTCTATCTCAAAATACTTTTGCTGTCAATGTTTTTTTAACTCGTCGCATATATTATACAAAAACTAACACAAAAATATAAACAAAAGGTAATTATTATGTGCCTTCAGTGTTCGGGTTAAAAATAAATTTCCATGTTGTAAAGGCTGATCCTATTCTGATTCGCTAAATGCAGCATATAGGTACAAATAGGAAAGCACAACAATGTTCCAAATAGCCAAAAAAAAAATATCCATTGTTACGTACAGGAAAATTCAGTATCATTATAAATAGAAAAAATTATTTCTAATAACTTCAGTTAAATTTTGAATAAAAAAGGAACTGGCATATTTTCATCCAAAATCTTTATAAAAATCTATAAAATTATTTAAAGACTTTAACTTTTATAATTATTTTCTTGTAGTAATTAATTTTCTTTTTTTCAGCCTGTTCGTGATAATGCCTTACGTATTATAGTAAACCAAACACGGGCCTTTAGCATGGAAAATCCGCGAATCTTCAGGCTGCAAATTACAGTAGGAATTTCTTCGTTATTCATTTAAAACATCTAATAGTACATAGGTATTCAGAGTTACAGGTACACAAAGTTGATACTGTGTTGTAATTTACGGTGCTTTAATTCAATTTATAAATGTTATTATTTGTGAACTAATCCTTAGTATATTATTATTTAAACTCATTTTTCATTTGAATGCGATAAAACTCTTAATATGTTAGCGAAAAGAATTGAACTGTTGAAAAGCGGATGATGTTCGTTCCTACGAGGCCACTCACTTGGGGTCAGTCATAGTCCGACCCCCTTTTACGTCCAAACTTCACACGTGTTTCATTCGTTTGAGGCGAGAAAATTTCGGCTTCTCCTGAAATTAAAACTTTCTGTTTTGTTTATTTCTATTAGTGTCGCATCTTTGGCAGAAATATGGTTAAAACCATTCATTGAAGTTTAGCGCGAGGACGGGATATGTCACATTTAAAAGGGGGTTAGACTTGTATTGGAAATTTGGCGATGAATTACTACCCTTTTATTGTTGGTTGGAGAAAAAGCAAGATAAGTACTTGATTGGATGAATATTAATTTATAGTTAATTTGAGCCAATAGTGATTTTAGAGGCGGTCCCTCTTTGAGAGAAACCGAGGTTCTAAAAGTTTTAACACGAAATGGAAGAAAGATTTTTCTACCTTATTGAAAATTACAAAAAGAAAAAAAAATGGGGGCAGAGAGAGAACGAAAGACAATGAGGTTTCGACCGAAATTCGGTCGATCCCGGTCTGCGAGTAAAGTTTTCCCAGCGATAAGGAATTACCGGTCTGCGAGTAAAGTTTTCCCGGCGAAAGGTAGATGGGCGTGTACTTCATAGCCGTCCCGGCCACGTATGAATAGTAGCATAAAGATAATGAATTCCAGTAGCCGAAAATATGAGCTCGTTTCGTCTCTTCAGTAAAGTTTTACTAGCCGCTGAAAATTCGTGCTTGAAATTTCGGGCTTTTCATGGCCTTCGCAGCTGCTAAAATGCACTACTTTTGAAGCAAGTTTTAGGATGTCGCTGTTGTTATTGTCTTGTCGAGGAGTCAGTGCAGAGGAGTCAAATAGGACCGAAAGTATCCAGAAGAGCCGCAGCAACATCAATAATCTTCGAAGAATAGAGGAAAGTTGGTGCGAGGGAACTATATCTATATTGAAGAGCTTAGCCAAAATAGCAGGACAGTCAAAGAGATGGAGCTTTGTGGAAGTTCCATGAACGCTTATACTGTGGGAAGTATTTCTGATTTATTTGGATAGCGGTGAGAACAGGATAGTGGTCGCTAATTGCAAATTTTATTACTTTCCAGTGAGAATTATCTGCAGTTTGTTAGCTTGTAGCGGTGATATCGAGAGCAGACGGACTGCCGATGGTTCTAGAGACGTAAGTGCTTTCTCCTGTGTTAAAAATAGTCAAATTCAAGTCAGCAGCCAGGTTTCCAATTTGGTTTCCCTTGGAATCCTGTAGTTGGCAACCCCATGAAGGGCTTTTAGTGTTGAAGTCTCCAAGAATAATTTTGGTCTCAGCTGTGGTATTTGTAAGACACTGGAGGAGACAGGTGTGGCTAGCAGGGGAATAAGGTGAAGAATACGGGATTTGGAACATGCAACTCCATTCGTTCCTTCGGAGACTGATGGACATATTGGAATTTCGCTAAGAAAACAAATTATAAAGAATATTTGATTTTTACAGAGCGACAAGTAACTGCGTTCTCTCCTTCAGAGACTGATAATCTGACTCTTTCCAGACTTATTAAGTGGAATTGTCAGCTTTCAATTTCTTTATAAATAAAAGAATGCCTTTCTATAAATGCCTGTCCATGTGATAAGCTTAGAGCATTTTTGATATTTTCCATACTTGTGTCAAGTGAAAAGTTAAGAAAACAAAGGGAAGATAAAGATGTGAAGAAAAAGACTTCTAGTATCAGAAGTGCAACATTCAAACATTATGATTTCTTTGTCCTTCCAAAGATTTCCCAAAAGAAAATGGAATAGAAATATTTTGAAAAAAAAAAAAAAAATCAGTGGAAAAAGAGGAAAATTAATTTTATACAGAAAACTGATACATACTCTGACAATTCTGAATATTCTGAGACAATTACATGGAAAAAATTCTTACCATGGAAAAATTAAAAGGAAGAAAATTTTAATTAATTATATAGTAGTCTGCTTTTGCTATGAATTGTTTTGTAAACTGTGCTTTATAGCATTTATTACCTTGTTTATTTTTCAGATTCAAAATACTATATAGCAAAGGAAAATAAAAATGTTTTATTTTAATGTTATTCCTTAAATGTGATTTAAATACATCACCATTATTTTAATTAAATTTATCAATGTTTCCAAAAAAAATCGTCGAAAAATTCCCAGATCTCCGATATAATTTTCTGCAGAAATCAAACTTAAAATCGCCAAAATGTTGATAAGTCGCTAAATTTAGAACCGTTTAATAAAAGAATTCACATCCCCAAAAGCAGAAAGTTGTTTAAATGCTCTTCATTAGAAAAAAATTAAATAATTTTGAAATGCTTATGTTTGACTCCTTGCTCAGAAACTCCAGTATCCCACTCTTTATATTAGAAATAGGAACAAATTATAACCCATGAACCCATTCAAAAGATATTCATATTTGTCAGTGATTTGTCAAAAATATTCCTCCATAATGATAATTCACACTCAAAACAACAGTCGTAAAAACAAGACAGAAATTTCAGATGATTAAAATTAAGGACCTTCTGCCGATTTTGGCCGAAATTAAGGACTTTTAAGGACCAAAACTCGATTCCAAAAAACCGAAGGACATTTAAGGGCTTTTATGTACCGTACGAACCCTATGTATTGCAAATTTTTCATCTTCTCGAAAGTGTTGGTAGCATCTATCCGAATTTGTTGATGAAGACTTATTTTCAAATCTGTTTAAATTTGTGAGTTTCTTACAAACCATGGCACATTCACCATGGCTTTTATCATCCTTCTTTTTAAGACTGCGATCTCCTGCTTTTTAGTTTTTAGTGTGGTGGCTCACATTGGGGCTGCATATTATAAAATTGGTCGAATAAACGTTAAGTAAAACATTCTTTTAACATGGATGCTGAGTTTGAATTCTCTTCCTCTAAAACTGTATAAGACCATAAAAGCTCTATTAGCCTTGTTAATTTTATCCATAATGTATTCTTTGAAGGTTATTACCGCAATGTATTTATATGAATTTGTAATAGGGATGATTTCATTTCCTATCTTTACTTCTGAGTTTAACTTCGTATGCTTCTTGTATCTTCTGTAATACACACTGCTGCATTTTGAAATATTAACTTGATCCGCCGGTGACCATGTTAACATTGCAGTTGCAGGTTGTCAATTGCGATTTGATGGTTTCTTGATTTTGATAAAATAACTGTATCGTCTGCGTATATGAGCATTTTAGAATTCAGTTAGGGTTTGGCAGGTCATTTACAAAGATACTGAAAAGTTTTGGCTCCCTGGAGCACACCACTTTGAACAAATTTCTTTTGAGATAGAGATTATTGGCAAAATGGCGGTGGTACAAAAGACTGTCTGGCCAAGAGGAAGAACAAAAAACTAAAGAGCCTTACTCGGGGATATAAACTCTCTTAACTGCAATGTCTATCGATATTCAACATCAGATTTAACAGTTCTTAGGGAACGAGTTCCCATTCTTCAAAAAACATCTCTTGCAATTGTCCGGTGTTCTCCGGAGAGTAAGATCGTGCCACCACGCATCTCCTTAAAGTATCCTACACATGTTCAATGGGATTTAAATCAGGGAAGCACGTTGGCTAATCCATTCTGTGAGTATGTTCCCTTTATAGACGCTTCTCAACAGCATGAGTTTCTTGTGGCCCTGCACTGTCATCCATAAAGACAAAGGCGCGACCAATGGCCCCAAAAACCACGCACGTGAAGGAAATAACTTAATTATAGTAACGATCTCCGGGTTGGTGGGATGAAAGGTGTCCCTACTTTTCTTCATATCAAGTGGTGTCAGGAATCGTTTGTCAGACTGAAATAACTTATTGGTAAAGAGAACGCTATTCCGTTGATAAGGTATCCAGTCTTTTTATGCTCTATACCACTGTAAACGGTGCTGCCGATGGGCTACTGTTAATGGTATGAACGTTTAGGACTGCGGCCAAATAGGCCACATTTATGAAGTTGTCAGTAAACCAGGACACCTGTTTTTCGGTTGCAGTGAGCAACTGAGCTGTGGGTAATGTTTCCCGCAGTTTGATTCCGATCTCTTTTCGCCTGCAGGACTACATATCGGTCCTCAGTCATCATTGCTTTCTTTGGCCGACGACCACCAACCTTCTTACAGCTGTACGTGTGGTGTGGAAAACTTTCAAACTCCTGCAATAATACTTCTGTTATTTCCAAACTCCTGAGCGACAAGCATTCAAACTATGTCCCTCCTTAAGATTCCCAATCATTCTACCACGTGTAAAGGCGTCCTGATGGTTTCTTGTAGCCATACTGCAGGTACAATCTCACTTTCAGTTGCAGAAGAATGACTGGAATGCCCCATCCTTTCTTCTTTTTAAGTTGCCTTGTACTGCGCGCGCTGATTTCTCGTATTTTGTATGCCATCTAACGTCATGGTGCTGATATGTGGATATGCATCCCCATTCTACCAAGTTGGCTTTTCCAAAAACCGTTTTCAACAATTTCATAGTTGCTTGTTGAAAAATGAATTTTTGTTGCTTAATTTTTGCGCATTAATGTGTGATGTAAATGCGATCCACTTTTCTTCAGAAGGTCTTCCAAAAGATCACTATGCAGTCACTGATTTATGAAGTACAACGCTGTGTGACGGGACCGCTTCCGCCCTAGCTTTTGCCTTTCTTTCGGAATTCAGTGCCGTCCCGCACTTCACAGTGGCCAGTCATCTTAAGACAAAAGATACCCCTGTTTCATATTTATGGAGGCCACAAAAGGCGTACCTTAGACCTTGCCGCTCTCGCGACGCTATCTACGAATATATCTGATAACTGAAACTAATTTTTGCTGGAGAACGCTGTTTTGTTAATGGCGATGTTAATCGATAGATGGCACCAGTGAAGTTTGATATTTTCTCCTGCTCTGCTAGTTCCGAAGGTCAAAGTGAGAACCGTAGCGTGATGACGCAAATGATGAAAACAAAAGTGCACTTTCGTATTAAATGTTGAGAAAGCATACCGTTTCTGCATATTGAGTGAAGCTGCCACTCATTTTTACATTTTTTCTAATCCGGAGAATCATTTTGAGGCCCTCTAAATAGCACGGTCCCCTGCGATTAGGATTTTCTCGACACGTAAGTTCTCCTGAGCTTGCATGTTTTAATATAGCATGATAAATAAGCATTACTAAATTATGCCTGCTGTTGTACATTTATGTTTAGCACAAAAGTGAAATCAAAAACATTAAATCAGCGTTTGTTTTATCCTCTTCTAGCTTCAATGTTGCGGCGCCGATTTTCCAGGGGACTGGGTGGGTTCTACATGGTGGCTACAACAAAGAGAGAAAAATACCAGTTTCGTCGTTCCTCCCAGCTGTTGCCTCACGGGAAGCGTTATAAGACAAAAAGAACTATCTTGCAATAAAGGTCAGCCACCGTATGAAGAGGTCTTGGATTCTAGACTCATACATCAAAAGGTGGGTTAAATAATATTTTTTTTTATATATCTATAAATCCAATGGCGGGCATTTGTCCATTCAGCAATGGCCACTCCTAAGGTCAGAAGTTGTGGCCATTTCATTGTGAAGGCACCTAATAGGCGGCCACCATTCCCTCCTATGAAGGGACGGACAATTAAAACCATGCCTTCTCGAAGATTCAAACCGTATTCTTCGGTACCGCTATACCATCTGGGCGGCGATTAGTAAACTGTGATAAGTTCAGACTGCATACAATCTTTTCTTAATTAAATATATAAATGGAACAGCCTACATTTCATGCACGCCAGTGGATAATTTCTTCCAACGTTGCAGATGAAAAACATTTATTCAAATTCAATGAGGGAAAAAAATCAATTTTTTCTCCTCCCTATCTGGTGAGAAACTAATCTCTAAAAGAATGCTTAAACCGTTCTTCTGCAGTGAATTTGTAAAATGTTATTTTCTTTTAGGGTTGCTCTGATGTCGCAAAGAAACGAAGAAAGAAATTGCTACTTACATCAGGAATTGTTTTCCTGTTAAACGCCACTGTTAAAATGGTGGGTTTCTTTGGAATCCACTGCTTTGTTAATTCCATTGCTGTTTCCCAGCAACAATTAAAAGAAATTTCATTTGAGGATTATTTTGCTACGACACATATCTTTGCTTAAATCTTTCTTGTCTGCATAAAGACATCTTTAAAATATTTTATACAAACGGCACTAGGGTCAAATCTTTGAGGTGCATTAAATTTTTACACGGAAAACTTAATGCACCTCATAATTTTTACATGGAAAACTTATATATATAAACCTAAAAATAACAAAATTTTATAAGCCTAAAAATATAATTAAATTTATAGGCCTATACACATTAATTAAGTTTTAAGTCTGCTTGAGCTAATTAAACGTATATTTAGATTTATTAATTTTAAAGGTATTATTAACGAAACTAATAATTTGGACTAGCTTAAGTTTTATAAGTTTAATCAGATATATCTGATTTTGCATCTACATTGGTTATCACGTTTTGTAACAATTACATATATCTGATTTTGCATCTTTGGTTTCGTAACGATCAGATATATCTGATTTTGCATCTACATTGGTTATTACGTTTTGTAACAATTACATATATCTGATTTTGCATCTTTGGTTTTGTAACGATCAGATATATCTGATTTTGCATCTTTATATATCTCTATGCATTGTATCTGTAGATTCACTCGTACATTTGCTATTAATTAAGAGTAATAAATATTATGAAATATATTGCTGTTTTCTGAAACCTTGAAATGTATTCTACGTCTTGTGATAAAACAGCACTCTATGCTTTTGCTGTTTATCTGACTCTGTCCAGGGTTAAAGAATAAATTAAGTTGCTATTCCTAGTGTGATACTGGCATCATTTTAATTCAATTTCAAATGCTACTGTTCTTTTGAGATACATGTATTAGTTGTGTTTGGCCTAAAGGGTGCACGTTAAATAAATTAGAATAAGAAATCATACCCACTAATAGTCATTAATTCCAATTTCAGCATAGCATGCTATCATGCTTTTGTTCATTGTTTAGTTATACAGTGCCTAATCAGCTGGCTCTGAATGTAATCAGTAAGGTACACTTCATATAATATATGCAAATAACAGCAAAATATATTTCAAAATTTTGAGGAAATCTCTTCAGCAGCTATTAAGTGAATGAATGCACTTCACCGTTACCACCAGTTAAACGTGAACTGGTGATACGTATATTATAAAGTTTGTTACGTATATTATAAAGTATGTCAGATGCAGCTGTTTATTTGTTCGTTTTCCTGCAGCTGAGGAATATATTATGTGGTTAAAAATATTGCAACACATGCTACCAATACCTACACATGTTACACCAGTAGTCTCAAACTAGCGGTCCGAAAGCAATTTTGTGCTGCCCATGAAGAAAGACACTTCCAGTTATGTATTTGTAGCAAAGATTTCAAAATTTTAGTTACCGCATAATCCTGCGTATAACATGCACTTTTCATTGCAAAAAATTAGGTTCAAATTTACGGACGCGCATTTTACGCCGGTTATAAAAATGATAGGTTTAAAAATAAGGAACGAGCATTAAAAAAAAAAAAAAAAATAGATTTTCTACATATACCTAAATGATGTTTATTTAAAAGAAATGGCATACCTTATGAACTTCAAATCTATATTATCGGATAACATGAAAAGTTCGTCATCCGTTATATCTTCAAGCACATCATCGAATTCTTTTTCATCTTCACCATCATAGTTACTCTGATCCGTAAATCATCATCATCATCCGTTTTATGTTCACCAATACCAGACACCCTTGCTACAACACGACTTCCATTTTCTTTCGCGAAATGAATGTCTTTGCATTTTAAACCAGCAGTGCGTTTGTTTCTTTTCGCAGGAACCATTTTTATTATTAAAAGGAACACTAGATTAACTGTATTTTCAACTAAAGCAAATGCGATTTACTATAGGGCTTCCATTTTCACTTCAAAATCACATCTTCAAATGACTACAGAAAAAGAAAATATCTAACTCCTAGTTCCACGAATTCATTCAGGTTGGAAGCGCATTCTTACTCCAATTACATTCCCGATTTTCTCGAGAACCCACAATAGTATTCTTTTTTATCACTGCACCCTCTTTGCCGGACTATTTATTTTCTTAGCATTAAACCCACACACCTTATCGCTTGTCAGTTCAGTTGTCTTCGAAAGGAGCATTGCACATGCATCTTTTAGGGTTTTTCGTGAAGAATTGGGTACGTGCTATACGGCGAATATGCCTAAAAATTAAAAAAAAGTGTAGCTTGAAATTACAGATGTGTGCCAGAAAATACGGTATTTGAAGTTCGAGTTTAAATTATTTTTCCATTAGAAACGAACATGAAAATCTATAAATGGAGTTAATTAATTTAAAATGTGATATAAATTTTATTAGAAGATTTGAAGGTGCAGATTTTATTAACTTTCATTCGTACTTGTGAAAAAATTAATTTGTTATGAATTTTTGCATTCAGAATAATCGCTTTGGTCGGGAATACATTTATATGAAAACAGCTTTGTTTTTCAAAGTTGAAAATAAATAAAAAAAAGAATGCGATTGACTGATGAGCACCGACAACCCGTGATGAAGATAATTTCTGGTAATTTCCTCTCTAAGGCTGCAACTTTTATCAGAAATGAAATACCATCAAATATCAAGCTACAGTAAGAAATGAAGAAGTGTCTAATTATGTTATATAGACAAGCATTGAAGATAAATTTAATAAATATCAGAAAAGAGATTAAACTGTAAATTTTGTCTGAAAACTTTGAATATTTCATAATTTATTTATTTTTAGTTTAAATTAAAGTAAGTAATTTAGTGATTAATTAAGCGCTTTGAAAATATTTTAAATAAACTTTAATTCAAAAATCTAACATTTAGTTGTCAATATCTTTAAATTACAAAATGCAACCCCCAAAATATCTTACAGATTTCAAACAGAAAATAAATATAAATTTGATTTTTTTTTTTCCTTTTGCGATACAGTACAAAGTCTTTAATCCGGAATCGTCAGGACTTCAGCGATTCCGGATTAAGGGTTTTTCCGTATTAGAGATCTCCAATTTAAATATGGTAAGATGGCATGCAGAAATTATAAAATTAAAAATATGAAATCGTAATTTATGAAATAAAGAGCAATTATGATCTAAAAGGTATCAAAATTTACAAAAAAAAAAAAAAAAAAAAAAGCTTAATATTTATTTTTATTTTATTAAACATTTTTTTCAATGTAAGTTGTTTTAAGTTGCTTCGTTTTTGTGCTAATACTTTCTTTTTAATTCTATAAACAGACATATTTCTTGTTTGGTTACAAAGTTCCACTGTGCAAGTCCTGTAATTGCTGTGTCGAGAATACCGAATAACTTGTCAATCGAAATTTTTTCGTTTTCAATAACGTGTCACTTTATTCACTATCGGAAGCGGTACATCGAAACATGCTTTTGCTTTGTAGATCCTTTGGCAGCTTCAGAATCGGAAAAGTCTTAAAATTGCTCTAACAGTCTGCAAAAAATAATAAGCCGGATCCAATTAGAAGATTAAGGAACAACGCAATCTGCAACATTTAACTGAAATAGATAATTAGATAATTTTAGCCTAGCTTATACCGTCCGTTATACATTAAACGCGCATGCGTAAACGCATATGCGCGTGCATAAAGGTATTATTCCCATGCGTAAACGCTACGCATGCTCAGAAAATTTTTAGCTTTGAGGTCCGGATTATAGATCATTCCGGATCATGGACGTCCGGATTAAAGACTTTGTACTGCATTATTATTTATGTATGTTTTGATAAATATTTGCGAATTAGCAAAATTTACTTGAAATATTTTTATTTATTTATTTTTAATTCTGGCCCATAAGTTGTTTTCAGATTGAGCATTTGGCCAGCATGCAATTAGATTTTGAGACTACTGCATTACACCAAATCTCATGGTCAAACAAATACTGCTTTTGCATCTTTTAGTGCTAAACATTTGTCATCAGCAGAGAATTTAAAATGTATGAAAATTTAGAAATGTATTGCAAAAATTATTTCTGATGGGCACAGAACAATTTATAACACTTAACTGCATACTTAAAAAAATCATACTTCATGTATAACTGCTTATTTTCAAAGCATACTTTGCAATCCCCTTTTCTAAATAATATTTCAACATAATTTTATTAGTATTTTTAGTATCTTATCATTAAAAATAAAATTTCATAACTTTCAAATGTGAAACAATTAAAATATTGAGTAAGAATGAATATAAAAAACATAAATGATAAGACATTTGCCACCATACATTCACTATAACCATAAACCATATAAAAACACAATGCAAATTTTAAATTTCTCACAATAAACATAATTTTCTTAATTATAAATTAACTAAAAAAGAAATTGATATCATTAAAAAAGTAATTTATACAGAGATCAAACACATTTTTACATGTGGAAATTGAAGAATTTTAAGGACCATTAATGAAAAAAAAGGACCTATCAGCAGAGAGAATTTAATAAATGAAAGCAATTATCAATACTTGAATTTCACTTCTGTAATACCATTCTAGGAATATAGTAGCAAATCTGTAAGTAGGATACATTATTATTAAACATAATGTAATACTTAACATAATTATGTTATGTAATTTATGATATTGGTTCTAAATCGATATTAGGATAATTACACATAAAATGCTACAAAGCATGCATGTTTCATAGCAACAACTCACAGCAAAATATTTATGAATCTTTTTAAATTGAAAATTTTTCACATATTTTAGCTAAGTTACATCATTCTTCTCTTTAGCATCCTTTAAAATTCATTTGTATCAATGAAGAAATCAATACTCCAACTAATTTCTGCTTCATCACCTAATTTGTTAATTCTTTAACAATATATATTTGAAGAATAATTTTCTTTATGCAATCAAATTCTTTCTCAAAAAGTTTCATTTTCATTTTAGAATTTCAGATTTAATTGAAGATCTCTGTTACTCTAAAGAAGTTCAAGTATTTAGAATGTTTAGAAGGAACTGCTAATTTTATTTCTTTAATAATATGAGTATTGAGAATAAATGTAAAATGATATAAGGTCATGGCTGGCACCATGATCTTATATCATTTTACATTTATTCTCATAAATACATATTTGTTAATGAATCACCAAAGAAAAATATGCCTTGAAAATGTTATTTCACACTCAGAATGGCAGTCATAAAAAGCAGACAGAAATATCAGATAAGAAAAATTATAAGATGTATCTCCTGCCTTCTTAGTGTGTCTTCATGGTGTAGTGGTCTGCATGCTGGATGCCTATTTTAGAGGTCTGTGGTTCGATTCCCAGCAAAGGCGTTGCTTATTTTTCATGACCCCTGCTTCCTAAAAAAAATACCTGATGTCTATACAGTGGCGCCCGAACTAGTGTGGTGGACGATGATTCTCTACACCAAGGATTTGGCGATTGGGTCCCCTAAATCCAAGTCGCCTTTTAACAAGGGGGAGTATATAAGGTATTTCTCCCACCTTCTTAGCGTGCCTTCGTGGTGTAGTGGTCTGCACGCTGTTCATGTATTCCAGAGGTCCGTGGTTCGATTCCTGGAGAAGGCGTTGCTAATTTTTCATGACTTCTGCTTCTTAAAAAAAAAAAAAAAAAAAAAAAATACCTAATGTCTCTAATTGAAAAGATTCAAGAGATGATAAATCATGTCATATGCACAATTGCAAATTTTAAAAGAGAATTAAAAAAAGGCTGATCTTTAGAATATGGTAACTGATAGTTTGGCGACATTTTGGAGGCGATAAAGGTTACTACCTAGGACTTTGGTAATAATGTGAGCAGTACTTAGTTCCGATTACGCATTATTTTGTGTGAGGGAAATGAGAGATCATGGAGATATGGCATGT